TTAAATTTTTTTTTAAATCATTGAATTCGTTTATTAAATTTTATTAAAACAGAAAAAATCTTTCTTGTGAAAGAAAAATTCTGAAAAGTGTTTCTGTAAAATAACAAATTTATCTGATTTTAACCAAAATTTACTGCATCGAAAATCGTAAATTTTCATCATCCAGAAATAGTAAACTTTAATCTATTCTTTTTTTTGGAGGGGGAGATGGAAATTTTTCTCTTTTTCCGTTGTTAAAAGTTCACAAGTTCAAATCAAAAACTAAAAACAAAGCAAAAATCCCATTGATATTGGAATAAAAGAAGAAAAAAAATTTTCTAAAAAAAAACTCCTCGAAACAATCATTTCTAAATTTCGAAAAATCCAATTTCAACAATCAAATATCGAAGGGAATTTCTTAATTGAAAAAACAAAAAATTGTACAAATCTACAGTTTTTTTTTCTCCCAGAAATCACCACTTGTTATATTAATATTTACAAATTGAAAGAGAAAAGTAGAGACAATTAACTAGAGGCGTATAGTACCTAGTAGTATATATACAATGCACCTTTTCGCCGATTTATTTAGAGTTTCACGAAATACGAATGCGCCCCACGGGGAATGAATGCAAATAGGTACCTCTCTCTTTCTCTCTCTCTCTCTATATACTTTTTACCATCCCTTTTGTGCAAAATTAATTCCGACTACAGTTTTTTTAATAAAGCCACAGTCAGCGGCGGTCATGAATCACGAGAAATTACTATGTCGCGAGAGTGGGCCAATAAACGCGACACTTTTTGTTTTGACTCTCTCGTCTACGCCGAAAAGCTCTCAATGGCCCAACAACGATATAGAAACAGGGTGAGGGGGGGGGATATTATTCCCGTGATATCAGCCTCCCCCCCTTTTACCAAACAATTTCTCCCCGGTCACTGTCTACACTTGTGTATTCAAACCATAGCAAAAAAACAAAAAAAAAAATTGACCCAATACTATTTAACATTTTCAAAAACAGGAAAAGAGGAGAAAAAAAAATTTTCCTCCCCGGTATTTTATAAACAATGTAATAACAATGACACATTGTTTTACAATTGTTATTATACTTATTAATCAAATATTTTACGTTCATGCAAGTTTTTATACATTTTTTTAATAAAAATTTTTCCCTTCATTTCCAAACAATGAGAGAAAAATATATTTTTATAGAAAAAATATTCATATATATTTAAAATGAAATAAAAGAAGGAAAATATTTGTGTTTTTGATAACAAAAAACATGATTATTTCTTCGGGAGAAAACTTTTTGTGACTAGTTTTAGCAATTAAAAATAAAATTTAGATTTACAAAAGAAAAACAAAATTCAATTATCAATGAAAAATAAAATTTAGATTTACAAAATAAAAACAAAAATTACAAAATAAACCAAAAAGGCAAAATTGAAAGCTATGTTTAAAAAATAATGCTAAAATATATGCTAACAATTATTGTATTTTCTTTTCAAATACTGAAATTATTGATTTAAATAGTTCAAATTTATTTGATTGAAATAAAAATTATTTAATTCAAGTAAATATTTATTTGATAATAGTCAATCGGTTATTATTAATTAATCTGTTGTTTCACTCAAATACATTTTTTTCAATGTTGGAAAAAATAAATTATAAAATCTCTAAATTATTTTTTGTTTCTAAAAATTCAATTATATTTAAACTATAGAACTTAAATATTTTAAAGAACCAATTTTTCAGAATCTATAGAATTCATAATTTCAATTTTTTATAATAAAAAAAGTAAAATTTTTTATAAAAAAAATTAAATAATTTTATTAAAAACAAAGTTTAAATCTTTTTACAATTAACTGATTAATAAAAATTTTCAATGTTACCAACAATTTCGTAAAACAAATTCGATTTAATGGAGTTAAATAATAATTGATTGATCCAAATAAATATTTATTTGATTCACTGAGAAAATATTGTATTTATTTTCTCCTACAAAAATTAATTGAATCAAGTAAAATTTTGTTGAGCCAAATAAAATTGATTCAAACCAAATAAAATTTTTATTTGAGCCAAATAGAATTTATTTGTAAAAAATAGAATTTATTTGAACAATTTAGAATTTATTCGAACAAAATAGAATTTATTCGAACAAAATAGAATGCATTTGAACAAAATAAAATTTATTAGAACAAAATAAAATTTATTTCAACAAAATAAAACTTTTTAAACCAAATAAAACAATTTTTTGTTATTTTTTTTTTTTGTTATTTTTTTATCCTAAAGAAAATATTCAAGTTTTCAATTTTCTATCCAAAAATTAAATAATTCTATAAAAAAAAATAAAATGTAAATCTTTTCAAAATTAACTAATTAATAAAAATTTTAATTGCAACTCTTTCGAAATTAAATTAAAATCTTTTTAAAATTAACTAATTAATGAAAATTTTAATTGCAACTCTTTTAAAATTAAATTTAAATCTTTTTAAAATAAACTAATTAATAAAAATTTTACTCTTAACTCATCTGATTCGAAATTTCTTTTATGGATTTGATTTTGAATTTTCTAATACTTATTGTTATAAATTCGATCCTAACTGACTGTTTCTAAAATTTAATTATCCACCCAATATTGAAATTCTTTGAAAAATCGATTTTTCTAAAATATAAAAAAAAATTTCAGAATAAAAATAAAAATTACAAAATCAAAAAGGAAAAATAAGGCAATGTTTAAAAAATAATACTAAATTAGCTAACAATATTGTACGATTATTTTCAACTTAACTCTCATTTGATTTATATCTCGATAATAGAAAATTGACTCCATTCGTAGTAAATTAATTATATCGAAACTGGACTTTAATTATGATAGATATAAATGAACGGAACATTCATTACTATGTGTTCTATAGTCAATTACATCTCTAATGTGATACTATAATTACTCGAGTTTCGATTTAATTAATATTTCCGTAATCGAAAATAAGTCATTCGTTTATTTATGGAAAAAAATTAAATAATTCAATTATGTTGATAGACATTTAGTATAAACAATTTGTTGTTAATTGCTCTCGGATTATTTTTATTCATCGCTAATAATATTCTCTGCTGTTTAAATTTAATTTATTTAAACCAAATAAAATTTTCATTTCAGCCAAATAGAATTTATTTGAACCAAATAAAATTTTTGAAACAAATATAATTTTTTGAACCAAATAAAATTTATTTAAAGTTGAACCAAATATAATTTTTTGAACCAAATAAAATTTATTTAAAGTTGAACCAAATATAATTTTTTGAACCAAATAAAATTTATTTGAACCAAATAAAATTTATTTGAACCAAATAAAATTTATTTGAACCAAATAAAATTTATTTGAACCAAATAAAATTTATTTGAACCCAATACAATTTTTTAACCAAATAAAAATTTGTAATTATTTAAATTATATTTAAGTTAAAGTTGTCCTAATTAACAAATAATTAGCATAAATCACGTACAACGAAGAACTAAATTTTCAATTAAAAATCTCTCCTCTCTACAAGTTATAACGAAATGTCAGTATTTTTTTATGTCAGGTAAATAAACACGGAGATAAATATGATAAAAAATTGAAAAAAAATTTACCTATACAAATAAAAATAAAAAGTACGAAAAGAAATAAATATCGAGAAATAAATACTATTTCGAAACGCCGGAGTAAACTTTTATTAAAACCAAATTTATCCGAATGTTTTCGTATTTACTTCCGTATTTATTTACTCAGTTTATTTACATAAACTTCTTTGACATAAATAATAAACTGTAAATTAGCGTTGCTGACTTTGGTAAAATTCACAACGATTTGGAAAAAAAATTTTGTTATTCAAATTTTTATTTATTTTTTAAAAGAAAAATATTTTTAAGCAGAAAACAATAATGTTTTTTGTTTATAAAATTTTTCTCTTTTGATTTTTTTAATCAAGAAATACTGTAAAAAATTTTTTATACGAAGAATATTTAAGTGAATAAATATTTTTCCTTGCAATCGTTAATTTTTAACATTGTGAACTTCACCAACGTTGATAGTGAAGTTTGCAACGTTTTTAATCAAAGATTTTCTAAAAAAAAAATTTTTTTTATATTGAAATTCTTTATTTAAGAAATTATTTACAATATTTCTTAATCAGCAGATTGACAAAAAGAAAATTTATAAACAAAAAATATTATTCTTATTTGCGTAAAAATATATTTTCTTCTTTTAATCATTGATTGTAAACTTCATCGACGTTAAATAAACTACAAAATATTAAAAATAATTGTAATAATTTGTATTTTTAATTTTTATTATTTGTGTATTTTTCAAGTTCACAAATACACAAATAATATTACAATTATTATTATTAATATTTTTTAGTTAATTTAAAGTTGATGAAGTTCACAACGTTTATAATCAATGATTGGAAGAAGAAAATATATTTTTAAACAGAAAACAATATTTTTTGGTTTATAAACAATATTTTCTTTTTCAATTTTGTTTGATCAAGAAATATTTTTTTTATGAAAAATTTGAATGGAACAATATTTTTTCTCACAATTGTTTATTATAAACTTTGTAAACTTTACCAACGTCGTTAGACGTTGCAATAAACAATTAATATTATTAATAATTTTTTTTATTTTCTATTTTAAAAGAGTGATAAAATATTAAACAGTTGTTGGTGAAGTTCACAACGTTTATAATTGACGATTGCAGGAAAAAGAAATAATAATATTAATAATTCTTTTTTCTATTTTAAGAAAGTAGTAAAAAAAATTAAACAGACGTTGGTGAAGTTCACAACGTTTATAATAATTTTATTGCAGGAAAAAGAAATAAAAATATTAATTATCATTTTTCTTTTCCATTTCGAAAAAGTGTTAAAAAGTAAAAATAGATAATAATTATTATTAATATTAAAATAAATTATGTTTATTAATATATTTATTAATTTTATTAATTCCGTTTAATAAAATTCCTCCCTTTTTTCTGTTTTGCAGATATTATCAGGCAACATTGGAGAACGATCCAGCTCAACAGCATTTGTATCGAGTATCGTTATTGGATCGAAATTTAAAATCAGAGTGTCTCAGTTGCAATGCTAAGAGCGAATCCGATGGGGTTCGATGTCTCTATAATCTGGCCAAGTTTTCACCCGGTAATTCACACTACGTGCTCACCTGTGCTGGTCCAGGAGTTCCGGATATTTCTATCTATGACAAAGTAAGTCCCCTTTCCCCCTTTTTTCTCTCTCTCTCTCTCTTTCCACTCACAATCTCGTTCATCGAAAGTATACATCACGAGAATCGGAAGTACGCCTGATTCAAAAGAAGAGGCAAAAGACGAGAAAAGAGAGACGTGTCTTGACTTCGGGGATGAGATAGGATTTCCATCTCATATTGCCTCGTCGAGGAAAAATGAGATTTCATCTTCCATCATGCCAATGACACCCCACTCACTTCTTATCACTCCCCTGTTTTCTCAATGTGTTTCAAAATCTCTCCCAACACTCGCACAGTATTCTCCATAATATAGTCTGATTATCTATATATGAATTCTAACAAAGTCAATTTAGAAAAAATTTTTTTTTATTTTTCCTCAAACAAAAAGAGAAATAAAGAGAAAAATCAGGAATGATTTTTTCAATTTTCATATAGAGAAATATGAGAAAAGAATTTTTTTTATTTGAGAAAAGACTATTCAATTTAAAAAAATTGAATTTAAAAATATTAAAATTTAGAAGAAATAAATTTTTTAAGACTTTTTTCAATAAATTTCGATTGTCTGCTAGAAAGCGAATGGACCTACTACTATACTTAAATTTGAAATAAAATTATTACTATTATTTAATAATTAATAATAATTAATATTAATAATATTAAAAATTAGAAGAATAGTACATTGTACAACTAGTGGCGAAAGTGTGATTTTTCGAGAGTGAAGTTTGCGGCTCGAGCGTAGCGAGAGCAGCAATCACTCTCGAAAAATCATTCTTTCACCACGAGTTGTGCACTACGTTTTCTCCAACGCCTTGCGAGGAAAGGTTTCTTCGTGAGTTTCGTATAATTTTAATTAAAAATGTTTTTATGTTTAATATAATAAAAGACAAATGTTTTGAGTGGGGAAGAAGTTAGATACAAAATAAATCTCGGTCAAAGAACAAGAAAAAAGAATAAATTCATGATTTACTTTCGCCACGCCAAATTTACTTTCGCCACGCTGAATTTACTTTCGCCACGCCAAATTTTACTTTCGCCACGCTCTTCAGAGCAGTTGAGAAAAGTTCTACTTTCGCCACACTTTTCTACCAAGAAAAGTACTCCTTTCAGAGCAAGTGTTGGAGAAATAAGTTTTTAATGAATTTTCTCAAAAAATTTCGATTTGTCTGCTAGAAAACGGGTGGACCTGCTACTACTTAAAAGTTAAAATAAAATATTCTATTCTTCAAGATTGTGTCAGTCTCAGTCCCCACTAGAAGTCAGGTAATTTTCCGATGACAGAAATATTAAAAATTAGAAGAAATAAATTTTTAATGAATTAATTAATTGATTGTCTGCTGGACAATGTTAAATAAAATTCGCAGGGTTGATACACAACCTGGAAACCTGGAAAACCTAGAAATGTCAGAGAATTTTATAAACCTTGAAAAAACCTTGAAAAGTCAGGGAATTTTGATCAAAATCCTGGAAAATTGTTGTTTTCTAAAGTTATTGTGTTTATTCCTGAAATCTAATTTCAATTAAATATTTTAAAATTAATTCAATTTTAAAAGAATTGCGTTTACAATTTTTCATAAACAGATGAACTTAAAAAGATTTTGATTAAAAATTTTGTAAAATTTCAATTTTAAATGAATTGAATTAGAAATATAAAAAAACTTAGATTTAAAAAAAAATTTAAAACTAAAATTCTTCTGAAATTAGTTAAATTTTTTAACTAGTTTTATTAAAAATAATGGATTTATAGAAGAATTTTAGTTAAAAACACTAAAACAAATTGAATTTTGAAGCACTAACAAATGATTGCAGAAATTCAATTATTTTCAAAAGTAGTAAAATTCTTCTCAGAAATTTAATTATTTTCAAAAATTTTAATTAAATTCTTGGCAAAATTTGAATTATTTTCAAAAACTTTCATCAATTCAATGATTTTTAATATCTACTACTTTAATAAAAATTCCTAAAAGAATTCAATTAGTTAAAAAAAATTTTAATAAATTTCTACGCAAACATTTAATTATTTTCATAAATTATAAAAATTTCACAGGAATTCAATTATGTTTAAAAATTTACAAAAATTCTCATCAAAATTTCAATTATCTGTATAAATATAAATAATTAAATTTTTCTTTGAAATTAAATTATTTTTAAAACTTTTAATAAAATTCTTGGCAGAATTTCAATTATTTTTAATAAATTTTAGTTAAAAACACGAAAAAAATTTAATTTTGTAAAAGTTATAAATTATTACAGAAATTAAATTTTTTTAATTTTTTTCAAAAGTAATAATACTCTTCGTAAAAATTAAATATTGTTCAAAAATAATAAAATTCTTCTTAGGGGTTCAATTATTTTCAAAAAATAATAAAACTCATTCCAGAATTTAAATTATTTTCAAAAAATAATAAAACTCATTGCAGAATTTAAATTATTTTTAATACAATTAAAAAGCATCCAATTTCTCGAAAAATGCAATTATTCTTAAGAATTTTATAAAAATTTGTCAAGAGAATTCAATTAATTAAAATTTTGTTGATAAAATTCTTTATGAAAATTAAATTTTAAGAAACATTCAATTGTTTAATAAAATATTTATTTTGATAGTTAAATAATTGAATTCTCTTAGAATTTTCTAATAAATATTGATTTAAAAATGAATTTCAAATCAAAATCTTGGAAAATTTGAACTTTTTATACTTTAAATTAAGAATTTTATAGAATCAATTATTCTCAATAATTTTTATGGAATTTTTTTTATTTACTTGAAGTTTTTAATTTCTAATATATTTAATTGAAGAATGTCAGAAAAATCGAAATTTCGTAAAATTAAATTGTAAACAAAATAATTTGATAATTCACAAAGAACTTTTTCAAAAATTATTTAAAAAAATTGACTTAAAGAAGAATTTTAGTTGAAAATTCTAGAAATGAATAATCGTACCTAATGATAAAATAATTTTTGAAGAAGTTACAGTAACAAAGTAGCAAATTTTAATTATTATAAAACATGAAGAAAGCGATCACTCCGAGTCAATGATATTCTTGTTATTGAATTTAAAATTTTTGAATATCTGAATTTCTATAAAAAAAAATGTAATGATTTTATTTAAAAATGAAGTTATTGATGTTTTGGAATAATTTTCGTTTTAAAAACCTGGAAAAAAGACATTTTTTAACCTGGAAAACCTAGTCAGGGAATTGGAAAAAAACAAATGCGTGGCAACCCTGAAATTTAAATTAAAAATTTATAAACAAAAAATATTATTGTTTTTTGCTATTAAAAATTATTTTTTTCAATCATGGACCATGAACACTATAAATTTCACTGAGGTCGTTAATTAAAATTAAAAATTAGAATTAAAAAATAAAATTAAAAATGAAATTAAAACTCATATTAAAATTAAGAGAAATAAATTTAAAAATATTTGAAAAAGAATATTAATTTATTTATTTATGCAATTGGAACATTATCAAGTAATATCAATTTCTCGATTAGATTTTCCGTTAAATAAATTTTCCTCGTTTCACTTTTTTTTCCTCTTAGTAAACAAAAGAGTTGAAATTTTACTCACTCTATATTATGACCACCGATGAGTATCACCGTAAAATTTTTACCAATTTTTAGAAAAAAAACAATGCATTTTTCAATCGTGATTTCAATATTTCTCGTTTTCTTTATTGGTGAAATTATGGGTTGTCAACTTCCCAGTTTATTGTGCGAAAAAAATGACGATTGTTGCAGTTTAATCTGTATAAGTCGTGGCAGTAAGTCTCGTGTTAAAAGAAAATGTTAATTAATTCCTCAAATTAATTAAATTTGAATAATTCTTAAAATAATTAAATTTAATTAATTCTCAAAATTAATTAAACTCAAAAAAAAAATGTTAATTAACTACTAAAGTTATTTTAATTTTCTTTCCCTTATCCTATTGCACATATTTTATCTTATTCAAATTTTCATTTTGTATATTTTCTCTAATTACAGTATTTAAATGGTGCGGATAATTTAAAATGCAAAATATCTGAAATATTCATTGTTACTAAACAAGTGTTTGGGAACTAAAAGCAATAAATGAATGTTTCTAAAAGGATATACGACTGTTTCTAAAAGCTGTATGAATAAATTAAGTTGCAAATGTAAATAATAAAAAAAAAGAAAATATTACAATATTTTTTACCATCATATACAGAATTGTAATTTTTTGAAAGAAACATTTCTTTTTTATTTTCCTGACAAGGTGAAAATTTTTTTTTCCCCTAAAGGTCGAATATTAATAAGATATCCCAGACTTTGAGTTAAAATGATGCGATTAAATTTTTTTTTGTTCTCTTTCAATTTTTTCATAGCGCGGTTTCTCACTTGAGAGTACGAATTATACACGTCAGGCATATACAGTTGAGCGTGCTCTCGTCTCTGAAGGAGTGATAAAAGAGAATATTATTAACGAGCGATCGATCCAGTTTAAACTCTTTTTCAAGAGGGACCAGACCCACTTACCAAGTCTCTGCGAAACGACGAGAGTTTGCTCTTGGACTTTTAAGTGGGTGCATATATATAGATATATATTTTTTATTCTCAAGACCCTTTCATTTTATTACCGGAAGCAAAATTGCATTTCAAATAAGTCTCATTTATTTTGTGTATATTATTTTCTTTTCTGATGATGATTTTTGAACTAAAAAAATACAGTGAAACCTGTCAAAGTGCAACTCTATTTTTTAAATTTTATTACAGTATAAACAATCGTTAAAAAAATTGTTTTATAATTTAATTTTGTAATATTTTTACAATATTTTGAAACTAAGTGATTACTAAGTGATTGAATTATTAAATAATTAATAATTCTTCTTGGACATATTTGAATATAAAAAAAATTTTTTATATTACATTTTTTATATAATTATATTATTTTTTTTTAATACAGTTGCATTCCGACAGGTTCGACTGTACTCTGAACTGAATTGCAAAAAAAAAAATTATTTCACTTTAATAACCGATAACTTGTCTATTATCCAATAAATATTTACTTGAATCAAATAATTTCTATTTAAATCAGAGAAATATTTAGTTGAATTGAATAATTTCTATTTAAATCAGAGAAATATTTACTTGAATCAAATAATTTCTATTTAAATCAGAGAATTATTTAGTTGAATCAAATAATTTTTATTTAATTCCCTGATTTCCCTGATCGTTGTCAAACCTGATGGAAAACCTGACTTAATAACTAATTATGTTCCTAAAGTTTCTACAAAATATTTTTTTTTTACTGTTTTCACTCTTTAAATTTTAATTTACTAAAAATGTTTACTAATTTGAATTAGTGTCTAACTTTTGCTTTTGAATTTGTAAATTTTACTAAAGTAATTTTTACTAATTTATTAGTAAAATAAAAATAAATTAGTAAAATAATTCATTCTGTAAATATTAATTAGTAAAGCTGTTTACTAATTTCAATTATTGACTGATTTTTTGCTTTTCAATTAGTAAATTTTACCAATAAATTAGTAAAAATTAAAAAATAACAATTTTATTAGTAAAATTTACTAATTCCAAAAGAAAAAATAATTAAAATTCAACATTAACCTACTCAAACAATTTTTTAATATATAAAATAATTGTTTTTTCTTTCAGTCAAATTTTACTAATAAATTAGTAGAAATTACTATTTATTAGTAAAATCTACTAAATTCAGAAGAAAAAATACTTAATTAAAATTAAAGATTTACCTACTTAATCAAATTTTTAACACACAAAAAACTTTTTATTTTTCTTTCAGTAAATTTTACTGATAAATTATTAGAAATTACTATTTTTAATCAATTTTTTAATATAATATAAAATAATTTTTTTCCTTTCAATAAATTTTACTAATAAATTAGTAAAAATTACTATTTGTTATATTAGTAAAATTTACTAACTTCAAAAGAAAAAATAATTAAAATTGAAGATTTACTTACTTAATCAAATTTTTAACACACAAAAAAAAATTTTTTTTTCTTTTAATAAATTTTACTAATGAATTATCAGAAATTACTATTTAGTAGTAAAATTTAATCATTCAAAAAGTAAAAATAACTAAAATTTAACATTTACTTAATCAATTTTTTAAAACACAAAATAATTTTTTTTCTTTCTGTAAAATTTTACTAATAAATTATTAGAAATCACTACTTATTAGTAAAATTTACTAAATCAATAGCAAAAAGTCAGTCACTAATTCAAATTAGAAAACACTTCTATTAATTCAATTTTAAAGAAAAATATCATTTTGAATTTTTTTTTTAATAAAAAAAATTATTTTGTATATTAAAAAATTGACCAAGTAAATGTTTAATATGAATTATTTTTCCTTTTTTCCACAGTAATTCTGAAAAACAGTTTAAATAAAAAAAAATCGTTAGAAATTTTAGGAAAATAACTAATTAATTCAATTTCTAACCGCAAACGTAAAATAAATAAAGGCAATGTTTGAATAACTTAATGAAAAAGTTGATGTTAATATTCCTAATTTAATTAATTAACAGCGAGCATCTCAAAAAATGTAATAATTTACAATGAAAATTAGATTTTACTTTTAAATATTTATTTAACAAAAAGTATTTAATTTAAAAAATTTAATTTACAAATCCTGAAGGAACGAAGTTTTTGAAAAATTGTAATCAAAATATTTTTGTTAAATTCTCCAAAAATAATTTTTAAAAATTGAAACAATTGGAAATTTTGTCAAATTTCATTAAAATAAATTTTAAATTTAGAGAATTTCATTTTTTCACTTTTAAATATTATTTTTAAATATAATTGAATTTTCGAAGAATAATTGTAAATAATTCTCGTAGTTAAATTCTGATAAGAATTAATTAAACAAAATTTTCATTTGAAATTTTAGAAATTATTTAAATATTAAAAGTATTATAACAGGAATTTTAACAAATAATTAAACTTTAAAATGCTTTTAAATTGAAATCTTTGGAAATTGTAAACGTTGTAAAAGTATAATAATATTTAAATGTTTATTATAAAAAATTATCAATACATTATTTTCCTATAAAAATTATTACAGTTTTGAATAATTTTATTCGAGAATTTTATAGAATAATTGAACTTTGCAAGAATTGCAGTTGTAATTTTGAGAAATAATTAAATGCGAAAGGATTTTACTTTGGAATTTTTTTGTTACTTTAATTCCTGTGGAAAGAAATAACAATTTTGCTTATGTTTGTTTTTATTTTATGTTGCTCATCAGTTTTTTAATAATTATTTTTCTAAAGTTGTGAAAGTTTAAATGAACGAAATATTTTTTATTTAAAGTTTAAACAATTTAAAAATTACTATACTGAAATGGAAAATAATGTAAATTAAACATTTAATGTGATTAAGAATTTTTTAAATATAATTTAATCTAATTGTTTAATTAATCATAATTTTTACTTTTTTAAATTTAAAATATAATTTTGATATTTAATTAAATGTTTAATAAAAATAGCGTCGTTCATTTGAACCTTAAAAACTTTTGAAACATTAATTATTATCTCTATAATTATAAAATAATTTATTATAATTTTATTTTTACAATTATTTGTTATAATTTTACTTTTATAGTTATTTGTTATAATTTAGTTTTTTTTATTTATTTATTTCAGTTTACAGTTGTGAATTGAAATATTTTAATTTTTCAATTAACAAGTATTTTAAATTGTATTTAAACTATTTTCAATATTTTAAGTTCATAAAAGTATATTTTTAAGTTTTTAAACTATTTTTATTTTATGTATTATGTGATTAATAAATATTAATTATCAAATGAACTTTAAAAAAAAATAATTATTATTTTTATTTTAATTTAAAAAAAAAATTTTTTGCAGATACTTTTCTAGAATTCTAGAAGAGAAAACAGCGTTAGAAATGTGGCAAGTTCCACAATTTTTCTTCAAAAAAAAAACCATTCCCCTTTAAGTTAAAAGCACCCTATTTCTTTTTTCTTGTCTACAAATAAAAAACAAATTCCACTTTTTCTCAGTGAAAGAGAGAGAAATTTTCGCTTCTCCAATATATCATTACTGGCTCTCACTCGCATGGAACGTGAAAATATAGTCACGTAGAAACGTGTTCATGGCTTGATCGTTATGATCCGTAGAGTGCAGAAAAAGATATGGCAAAAGCTTGAAAATATAGAGATTGAAAAGTGGAGGGGGTATTATAAAAGGGGTGAAATAGACGCACCATGAAATAAAATTTGCAATCCGATTCAACGTTACAACCCCATGCCGACCTCGGATCACGATGTTTATATAGCAAATCACGACTACAAACCGGATATGTAACAGGTGTTATAGGAGAAAAACGTGTCACATGAAATTCAGATGTTTGCACAGATGGCGACCATAACTTCCTCTTTTTAAATAATTTTCCTTTTGCTTCGGAAAAAGAAACAATTTTACTAAACAATTTCAATTCTCATCATTTCTATCGTAATTGCAGTAAATTCCATTATTGTGGAATAAATTACAAATTACCAATAAATCGAAAGCATTCAAACAAAATTTTTCCTTCTTTTTTTAGTTAAAACCGATGTTTTAACTTTAAACCAAAATAAAATATATTTTCGAATTAAATACAATGAGAAAAAAATTTATTTCAATTAAATAAATATTTGATTGAATGAATATTTGATTAAATGAATATTTAATTAAATGAATATTTGATTAAAGTAAATATTTATTTGTTTCAAGTAAATATTTTTTTGTCAACAAGTAATCGTTTATTTGAATCAAATAAATTTTTTTCAAAGAATAATTATTTAAACAAACGTTCATGAAGTTCATGAAGTTCATAACGTTTATAAAATCAACGATTTCAAAAGAAAAATATTTTTATAAATTTTTGTATAGAAAATATTACGTTCAATTTTTTGAATAATAATTTACAAAAGAAATATTTGTGAATAAAACATTTTATTCTCATTAGTAGGGAAAATGTTTTTTTCTTTCAATCGTTGTTCACCGACGCGACTTTCAAACAAATAATATTTTTATATCAAAGCAGTACATTTTTTTTTTATTTTATAATAAAGCTTATAAACCGACTTTAATTAAACGAAATCATGTAAAATTATTTTTGCATTTCAATATTATTAAATATGTTTTCTCAGTCTATTCATAAAAATCTCTCATAGAATATTTTCCAACGAATTTTACACAAGAACGAAATTAAATTCAAAAATAAAGTATAAAAGCTTTTCGATTTTTAATTACAACAACATCTATACATGAAATACTTCAAAGAAATCTATAAATTAAATAACTGAAAAATATTTTAGCCAAATTATAAGTCCACTTTTTTCACAATTTATTGTTACACAAAAAATTGTCATTCATTTTTTACTTTAGAAAATAAATAAATAATAAAAGTAAAACTAAAAGTAAAAATAGAAAATTTTAAATAGAATATTGAAACGAACATTTTTTTTCTAAACAAAACGAAAATACGAAGCAAACAAAAAAAAAAGTATTTAACAAAGAAAAAATCCATTTAGAAAAATGAATTTTTAAATATAAATCACAATGGAAATGTTTTTTTTTCACATTTGTTATTTATTGACTTTCAGAAATCGAATAAACTATTTTCTTGGGAGGATAATAGAGCCGTGGCGGAAATATTGTCTGTGAAAGCACAGCCAATCGTGAAGAGACTCAAAGTTCCGGTTCCCGGTGGATTTGAGGCTCAAGTTCAATTAATGATTCCGCCAGGTGTCGATATTTCCGGTTCAACCAAATATCCGATGTTGGTTTACGTGTAAGTACAATACTATTATTTTTCCTTTTCTTCCATCAAAATATTATAAAAGAAAAAAATATTAAATTCTAAAAATTTCTGCAAAATACTATTTTTTTAATCACGTTTTTTGTTTATTAATTTATTAATTATTATTAGTATTAATAATATAAATTAATTCTTCAAATAATATTTATTTTAAATCACGTTTTTTGTTTATTAATTTATTAATTATTATTAGTATTAATAATATAAATTAATTCTTCAAATAATATTTATTTTAAATCACGTTTTTTATTTTTTTCAGCATTCAATTATTTTTATTATTTTTACTCTCTAAATATAAATTAAAAGTTGTCTACTAACAGAGTGCAGATACGTTACCAATTAACAATAATTAATAAATATTTTCTTGAATTTTTAATAGAAAATTAATTTAATATTAAAAAATAATTAATTTCATGGTAAAACATGTCCTAATGATTGGGTTTTAAATATTTTTTCTAAAATTTTCATTGTTCTACAATTCGAAAAATGTAGAAACCATCAATTAATTAATTAGAATTATTATTATTATCATGTTTACTAAATAATCTTATAATCATCATTTTTATTATTTTTATTAACATTATTATTAATATTATTTTATATTATCATTGTTACTTTTTATATTATTACTTTTTATATTATTATTTTTAATTTTATTATTTTTTTTTTCAATTATATTACTCTTTATCTCAATTAAATTGGAAATAAAATAAAAAGTTCTAATTTAATGACGAATATTGTTCAGAACTAAATGAAAAATAATAATAAAAAAAAAATATATATATACACACATTTTTTTCTCTGTTTCACGTTATCAGAATTTAAAAACAAAAAATATTGAAAAGCATCAACTGATTTAATTTAAAAGCGTCAATTCACTTCGAAACTAAATGTTGGCTTAATTGGATGTCAATAATTTTTCCGTTAAAAGCAATCAAATGTCAACACATGGATTTACGTGACTCCAAATTACAAATGTGCAATTGCAAAAACATTCAATATATAGGTCATTTACATTTGAAAATAAATTTCAACCCCCGAACCAGAATTGACAGAATTCGACAACTTTTGCCATTAAAAAAGTTATATATACAAAAACATTCTTGTTATTCGATAGAAAATAATTTACAACCAATTGTTTAAAAATTGCTTTTATTTACTTTGTTGAAGAAAAAAATTTTCATTTTTAAAATTCAATTTCAAAGAAAGAAAAATGAATACTTTCATATAGTTATTCATTTTTAGTCCATTCATTTTCTTTTGCGTGTATAATATTTTATCCAAGTATAAAAACATTTCGTAAATTAATTTTTTCTGCGCTAAAAAAAAAAAATTAAAATATTCTGCCTCTGACGTGAAAAAAATAAACTTTACACTTTACAGTAAAGGACGATTGATAATGATGGCGTCAAGATAGGAAGAAAAAAAAGAGTACTAAGAAAAAAAAAAGGTGAAGGTTGCTTTTACTAGAGAATGGAAAAAAAGGAGGCAAAGTTGGAAGAGTTCAGAAAACTTACACTTAAGTGCTTCCTTTGAAAACAGGCAGTTTGCCATAAAGTATGTAGCTACATGTGTATACGCACATGAAGAGTTCTGTCGTTACATTTATGCCTTGTTGGGTGTTCTTGAAAAGAAGGTTGGGTGTCAAGAAATGAGATAGAGGATGGGAAATGTTACTTTATGCATCGGAAAAGCTGAGTTAGATATATCCATATATATATACATAAACTCAAGTGTAGTCATTGGATATCGAACCAAGTACCCTTCTACTCTCTCTCTCTCTCTCACTCTCTATAGAGAGAAGAACCTAGTTTTCAAAAGCTACTAATGACACGCAGGGACAAAAATTTATTATCAATATTTTTTTTTTCATCAATCTCATATTCTGAATATTTGCATATATTCACAGCACTTCATATTGAAAGGAAATTCTCGAGATTTTATCATTTCCTCTTCAGGGAGTCTATAATTTCAGGTATATAAAAAAATAACTGTAAATTAAAAAATAAAATAAATAAATTATAACAATCATTTTTCTTAAATAAATATTTAAATACTTATTGTTAACAATAATTTCTATTTATATAATTTACAGTTATTTTTTTAAGTATATGAAATTATTGAATCCTTGAGGAGAAAATTTGTGAATTTCAAAATATTAAAATATTTTAAAAGAAAATTTTGTCCTAACGTCTTCTTATTTATTTTCAATATTATTAATCAACAGTCACTAAAATGTTTTATTTATATCAAAAGTAATTTATTTGAGTCAAATAAAATATATCTTGATCGCTTAGCCTTCTAAATTATATATTTATTTTAAATAAGAATTATATTCGAGACAAATAAAATTTCAGAAAAATAAAAATTTATTTGAATCAAATAAAAAAAATTATTTAAACCAAAAAATTTAGTTGATCATAAAAAAAATTATTTGATCAAAATAAAATTCATTTGAACCAAAAACAAAAATTAGATAAATTGAACCAAATAAAAGTCATTTGATAAAAAAAATTAATTGGAACCAAAAAAAATTAAATTGAACAAAACAAAAATTATTAATTCAAAATAAAATTCATTTCAACCAAAAAAAAATAGATAAATTGAACCAAATAAAAGTTATTTGATAAAAAAAATTCATTTGAACCAAAAAAAAATTAAATTAAACCAAATAAAACAATAAGTCATTTGAACAAAAAAAATTAAATTAAACGAAATAAAAGTCTTTGATAAAAAAAAAATTCATTTGAACCAAAAAAAATTAAATTAAACCAAATAAAAATCATTTAAACAAAGTAAAAGTCATTTAATTAAAAAAATTCATTCGAACAAAAAAAAAGAATTGACCCAAATAAAAAAAATATTTAATTGATCCAAATAAAAATTATTTGAACCAAGTAAAAGTCATTTAATAAAAAACAATTCATTTGAACCAAAAAAAAATAAATTGAACCAAAAAAATTGACTTGAACCAAAAAAAAAAAATTAAATTAAATCAAATATAAGTTATTTGAACCGGACAAAAATCATTTGATCAAAATAAAATTCATTTGAACCAAAAAAAGATAAATTGATCCAAATAAAATTTATTTGATAAAAAAAAATTCATTTGATAAAAAAAAAATTCATTTGAACCAAATAAACATCATTTAAACCAAAAAAATTAACTTTAACCAAAAAAAAAATTAAATTGATCTATATAAAAACTAATTGAACCAAGTAAAAGTCATTTGATTACAAATTCATTTGATCAAGAAAATTGAATTGAACAAAATAAAAAAAAAAATTAAATTGATCCAAATAAAATTTATTTAAACCAAACAAAAATCATCTAAACCAAGTAAAAGTCATTTAATAAAAAAAATTTATTCGAACGAAAAAAAATTTGAATTGAACCAAAAAAAAATTATTCTAACCAAACAAAAATCATTTGATCAAAATAAAAATCATTTGATAAAAGAAAGTCTATTTAAACCAAAAAAATTCAGTTGATAATAAAAATCATTTGATGAAATAAAATTCATTTGAAACAATAAAAAAATTAAATTAAACAAAATAAAAATCATTTGATCCAAACAAAAATCATTTCATCAAAATAAGATTAATTTGAACAAAAAAATAGATAAATTGATCCACACAAAAGTCATTTGAAAACAAAAATTCGTTTGAACCAAATAAACATCATTTAAACCAAAAAAATTCACTTGAACCAAAAAGAATTCAATTGAACCAAAAAAAAAATTAAATTGAACTAAATAAAAATTATTTGAACCAAACAAAAATCATTTGATCAAAATAAAAATCATTTAAACCAAAAAAATTCACTTCAACGAAGAAAAAAATTGAACAAAATAAAAATCATTTGAACCAAGTAAAAGTCATTTGATAAAAAAAAATTGAATTGAACCAAATAAAAATTATTTGAACTAAACAAAAATCATTTGTTAAAAATAAAATTAATTTGAACCAAAAAAAATTGAATTGAAACTAATAAAAAAACCAAATTGATCAAAATAAAAATTATTTGAACTAAGTAAAAGACATTTAATAAAAAAAAATTCATTTGAACCGAAAAATAATTGAATTGAACTAAATAAAAATTATTCTAACCAAACAAAAATCATTTGATCAAAATAAAATTCATTTGATAAAAAATAGATAAATTGAACTAAATAAAAGTCATTTTATAAAAAAACAATTCATTTGAACAAAAAAAAAATTAAATTGAACCAAAAAAATTTACTTGAACCAAAAAATAATTAAATTGAACCAAATAAAAATCATTTGAACCAAGTAAAATTCAAATGATAAAAAAAATTCATTTTAGCAAAAAAAAAATTGAATTGAACCAAATAAAAATCATTTGGTTCGTCAAATAAAATTAATTTAAATCAGATAAAACTTATTAGAAATTCATTGACCCGAAAACAAAAAAAATCTATCGTCCCCTATTGATTTTAATATATTATTTTTTTAAATCTCATATTTTGCAATTTTTCCAAGACACTTAAAATGACTTTGAGGGAAAAGTAGATTTTTTATTTCAAGTCTTTTGTGATTTATTTTCTTTTGAGTTTACCTTCTCACTTTCCAAGTAATTGAGTTCTTCATGAGGAACGAAAATTTCTCTCTCTTTCTCTCTCTGTCCCTCTATAGATAATGTTCTTTAAGCATCTTTTTTTTCTGGGGGTTTTTCTTATCTGTATTTTCACGCGATTCTCAACATTATATACCAAATAAAGGGAATGACACAGAACTTAAGGCAAAAGTGTGAACATTCATTATTTATCATTCCCCTCTTTCAAACATTCTGCTTCCTGAACAATTCTTTTATCACCTTAATAACATGCTTTCTTACTCCATAAAACAACATGAAAACTTTTCCAATTCTTTATCAACTTCAAGCTTATATTCAGTGAACGACTTAAACTACTATCAACCATAAGATTATCATTTAAATTACTTTTAGGTAT